AAAAGCAAAGTGCTAACCACAGCTTGCAAGGCTCTAAGTAACCTCATTCCTAGACTCATTCCTAGATACTCCTCAGGTATGATTTATTATACTTTCTTTCCTCTGTTCTATTCAGCTACACTGGCTTCCGTTGTTCATCACAAGCACCAAGCACACTCCTGCCTCAGGCATACTTTTTGCCATGCAAAATCTTCCCTAAGCTATGTGTATGACTTTCTCCCTCCGTTTTTGCAGTGCTCTTATTAAAAAAAATTACCTCCTTGGAGACCTGTCTGACCACCTCACAGTATATATTCTCTCTAGCACTTTATTGTTCTTACCGCTGTCTAAAGTTATATTACATATTTTGCCCATCTTTTGTCTCTTCCACTAGAATCTCAGCTCCTTGAGAACAGAAGTCTTGTCTATTTTGGTTTCTGTTACACACCCAGCACCAGAAATGTATCCACGCCATAAATGTGTTGCATGGTTGAATGTGAGTAAATCTAACTAGAAATTACCCCATTATTTATGTTCTAAGAAGCATTCAGGTGGATCAAGATATATTTTGGAGACAGGCAGTGACTGACTGGATGTTGGGGGTAAGTGAGGGGGCAATATCAAAGATGACTCCCTGGCTTGCAGCAGGAGCACAGGGGTGGGTGAAGGAGTCATTTACTAAGAAGAGGAAGACCAAAGAAGATCTGTAGGGAAGTTGAGTTTGATTTTGGACTTCTATAGCTTGAGATACCTGTGGACATCCAAAGTGAAGTTAAGTAGGCAATTGGGTATGTAGGTCTAGAGTGAGATGATTCAATTTCCCTATTGTTTGAATCCTTTTTGATCCAGGCTTTCTCTAGTTGCACCTAAAGGTGTCCTATTGACATCGCCACAGTTAAGCAGAACTCAGACTGTGGGTAGATTTTGCTGCTGAAGTAGAACCTCACTCTTCAGTTGCTGGGGCTTCTATTTTCTAAGAAAAGTGATAGCTTTGTGATAACCCACGATGATAGAGAATGTTCTCTGTATGAGCAATTGGTCACTTCACCTAAAATCACAACCTAACTCTCCAACTAAATGCTTAAATGCTACCAAGGGTGTTCTGTGAGTGAGCAAATGGGTCCAGACAGGTTATGGCCAGTTTAACTTGGTTGTAGAGTAGCTCAAGTATGTGTACATTGTATAGGAAATGGGTTCCTCCTGTTGTTTCTTCCAAACTATTCTAGATTGCCAACTGTAATACACATTCTGCTTTAAAAAATTTGAGCATAGGATACCTCTTACCCTGTTTAGAGTGCATCTAGCAGATTAAAACTGTGACTCTTTGACTTAGGTGTAAGCATCTTGTTTTGGGTAAAACGGATTCCCATCTAAATCTCAAACAAATATTTTTTGCCTTTTACAATTACTCCAGTTTTTCAGCAGTTATTGCTTTACAAAGGCTGAATCCAATGATAGCCTAGCATTTCAGTGTGTTATTTGAAATACATTGGGAGCCTCCTAAAGCAATCAAATTTTCCACATCCTGGACGCTGAAAAGGGATATTGCTTCTGAGTGGTTTGGGCCAGTCCAACACAGCATTCCTAGCAACTTAACACATTAAATTCTTCCTGTGAATGTGTAATAAAAAGTTCTGTTTCCCTCTCAAGGAATTTCATAATCAGCAAGTAGCTTGAAGAAGCGTTTTTACGCCAGAAATGAAGTGAGATGGTAGGGAGAAGAGCCTTTTAAGTCCCAGGAAAGCACACCTATAATTTGCCTGAAAGGCTATAAACCTAGCAAGTTGGACATATCTAATATTTTGTCATTCAATAATTCAATGGGCAATTATATATATTTATTATTATTATTATTATTATTTTTGTAGCTGGCCCATGTGGAGAACCCTTGACCTTGGTTTTATAACACTGTGCTCTAACTAGCTGAATTAACCAGCCAGCCTCAACCAGCAATTACAGCATACGGTGTGTGCTGTGTGTGTGTGTGTGTGAGTGAGAGTGAGAGTGAGAGAGAGAGAGAGAGAGAGAGAGAGAGAGAGAAAGAGATTGAGAGAGTATTAGGGAGAGATACATAGATGATATTTTTGATGTCTGTGAACTCAGGGCATAGAATAGAATTAAGAATAACAGAGGTTTGCCTGATAAGGGTATAGTTTTTTTAAAAAAAGGAATAACAGAGGGAAGGACAAAGGGCCATGAGAAGGGATGATTAATTCTGCCTCAGGGAGTCTGACTAGACTTCACATAAACAGTTAAATTTCACTGGGGATTTTTGAAAGACGAACAGCAGTTTTCTAAGCAGATGAGGAAGATTAAAAGTAGTAGCATTGGGGTTAAATGAGTTCTAAGAGGAATATTGGGTAGATTTAAGAGCACGGAATGCAAAGATTTGGGCCATAATGTGAAGGGCTATGAGTGATATGGGATCATAGATACTAACAGAGCATACAGTAACAGTGTTAGCTTGAAAATCATTACTATGTTGTCTGAATTTTTGATGTAAACTTCAAAAATTCCAGAAGCTACTGGGCTATATGTGAATTAAAATGAACTTTTTGAGAAATTCATGATTACTAAAAGGTGGACATGTCAAATGACACCTTAAGATCAAAAGAAACATGGAGTCAACATTTTTTTCTTTTTGTGGCTGGCTGGTACAGGGATGTGAACACGTGAACCTTGAAGTTAGAAGGCTGTGTTCTACCCAACTGAGCTAACTGGCCAGCTAAAGCAATTCTTTCCTGAAGCCAGAAAAAATTCAAGAGACCTCCCTTCAGTTGGTTCTCCCCTTAGTTATCTTTAACCTGTAATATTTGGTTTGAGCACAATACCCACTTTATCCTTGGCTAATATTTTGGCAGGTGAGACAAATGCAGAGTCACTACCACTTTACCTAAGATAAAACTTTTTTGGCATTGTCTGTGATTTGCTTAATACAGGAGTTTGGTAAAATTATATTTTTAAGACGTTTTCAGAATTTGACCCATATTCTTGAGTTTTAATTATTCTGCTAATTTAATTGATAAAAAAACTTATCTTTACTCTTCCTTTGAGATTTTTTGGTGTCAAATGAATACAAATCAACCTAACTACATAGTGGAAAACAAACTGTTAAGAGTTCTTTGTTGTACTTTGCAAACTTGTCTTTGGTTCCCCAGTGCCTGGACATATACTAAACAGGCAAATAATTATTTGCTAACTACAGCAGTACTTAGAAACTTCATTTTCTTCTAGGAATATTGCAGGAAGCAGCAAAACCCAAGGCCCGAATAATCCAGTTTCCAGCCAAGGCATTTGGAATTTCTAACAGGTCTATTAAAGAATAATTTTACTGTTATCCTGAATGAAACGTCTAACGGTGTTTTACAAAAAACACCTCGACACAAACTCGATAACTTCATAAAGATGATTCACAGCATTTATATACTGTATTCTATTTAGTACAAGGATTAAAAACATTAAATTAAAAGAACCCTGGGTAGATTTAACACACTTCTCAACTCAGTAATTTAAAAGAATAGTGGTAGGTTTAGGATCTCCAAATTATGCAAGCAAAGCAAAAGCAATCTGTTACTTAAATTATGCAAGTTACCTGTTTCTTTTGATGAAAAATTTCAGGAGAAAAGCAGGCAAACAAAAATCTTACTTGGAAACCAAGTCTTAAAAGAAAAAGAAGCCCTAGTTGTCAGAGGCTGTAAGACTGGCCCAAAAGCACGAATCTTACTTGTTGGGAAGGCGCATCTCGCAAAGACCAGGAGACAGAGATCGTTGCAATCAAGCAAGAGGTTTTTATTCCAGCATGCTGGGGTCGCACCGTTTTCAGGACAGAAGCGCCCCGAGCTCTTAACACAAGCACTTTTTATACAGTTTGGTAGGCAGACTTTGGCAACAGGATGAATTGTACACAGCTTATTGGTCATCTGAGGTGACTTTTAAATTCATTGGTGGTACACAGGCAGGAACTGGGGATGTGACTCATCACCTAGTAGTTAGGCCTTTCCTGGAACTGGGTGTACTTCGGGTTCTTGGAATGGCCCACCCTTATAGTGGTTAGGCCCTTCCTGGAAAGTCCCACCCCTATAGCGGTTAGGCCCTTCCTGGAAAGTCCCACCCCTATAGCGGTTAGGCCTTTCCTGGAAATTCCTTTTCCCCTGACAATGGAAAGTTCCAAAAAGGTTGGTGGGTTCTTAAGCCATTTAAATACTATTTAAACTTAATTAATCTACCTTATCACACAGCAAGCAGTTTCACAGAAGCGAATTGCATATGTTATGAAAGTGGGGGTTCATTTTATCTCTACATTCCCCCCTTTTTCTTGTGTGTATTTCAATCATGAAATAGTGACTCCTGTTGATTAAATTCCTTTTTTTTTTTTCCTTTTTGTCTTTTTTCGTGTCTGGCAACGGACCACAACCCTCAGTGTCGCGCCTGTACCGGACCAGGACCGGCAACTGGATCGCAACCCTCGGTGCTGTGCCCGCCCCTCGCTCAGCCAGTGAGCGGGAACCCGTCTGTATGTGGGATCCGAACCCTCGGCGGGAGCGGCGCCGCGCTCCCAAGCGGCGCACTGTAGCAGTGCGCCACCGGGCCGGCCCTGTTGATTTAATTCCTGATACTGTTCTCTTATCATAACTTGGACAGTACTAACACGTTCTCTAACAAAAGCTACTAAGTGATTTAAAATGCAGGGACCAAAGGTCAGAAGCAATACTAAAATAACTAATGGTCCTAGCAGGGTAGACACAAGGGTCGTGAACCATGGGGAGGAATTGAACCATGACTCAAACCATCCCTGATTTTGTTCCCTTTTTTTTCTTTTGGCCAGGCCTTCCCTAATTTTGGCCATGGAGTCTTTTTTTTTTTTTTTTTTTTTTTTTAAAGATGACCGGTAAGGGGATCTTAACCCTTGACTTGGTGTCGTCAGCACCACGCTCAGCCAGTGAGCGAACCGGCCATCCCTATGTGGGATCCGAACCCGGGGCCTTGGTGTTATCAGCACCGTACTCTCTCGAGTGAGCCACGGGCCGGCCCGGCCATGGAGTCTTTAATTACCCGAGTGACCAATGTAAAAACAACATTCTTCTCTTAGTGCAGCACAGAGCCCCCCCCGCTGAAGGAACAAGAGGTCTAGTCCCCTTCTATTTTGTAGGACCACCTCAGAAAGAGAGGTGAGGGACTCTTGTAGTTTGGCAATTGAATTTTCTATTTCTTTAATATCACCATCTATGGCTGCCTGTAAACTTTGGTAATTTTGATGCTGAACAGCCAAAGCTGAAATTCCTGTAGCTGCCCCAGCCGCTCCTAATCCTAAGCCCAAAAGGACAGAGAGCGTGACAGTTATGGGTTCTCTTCTGGCTCGGTAATACCCATTGTTTTTATCCCAGTACAATAGTAGTTCTTCGTAGGGATGGTAAACAAGCTGAGGCAGCAACTGAACCAGGACACAGAAATCCTGGGTCTCTTTCAGGACCTTTGAGCTAATGCAAGGTGTAACCCCAGTAGCGCAGGCCCACCATCCCCCTGGAGGGGGCAACAGATATGTGTCACTATTCAATTTGGTTAAGATTCTGGTTGCACAGTTGGCTGTGTGAGGGAGGGATTTTTCCCACACATGTTCCGTGCCCCGTGACCGCTGGCAGAGTAAGTTTGACTCTTTGTTGTTGCCAGCGACAGTCAGAAACCTTAGTTGTAGCATTAACCTTGCCTCTGAAGGCTATTCCTTCATAATATGGGGGAGCAACGTTATAGCAAAGCCAACAGGAGCAAGTTGCATTGGGGTTGGTATTATTTAAGACCTTGAAGGCTTCAGAGACTAGGTGGAATAACCCAGGTTGTTTTTGAGGTTTAGGCTCAGGGGGTTTAGACATTTTCTTTGGTGCCCTAGTCTTTGACCTTTTAGCGGGGACTGAGGACTCTGGTTGGGTACCCAGGGGTGCTGGGGTAGTCTTTAGTTTGACCATTGGAGGTCCCACCGGAGCTAAGTATTTATTTGGGCCTATGCCAGTATTCTGGGTTTCTACCTTGAGCTTGATGGTGAACAACAGTCCATCATCATCTTTCTTTATAGAATCTTAACCCCCATGTAAACCCTGTTTCCCATCCAATGGCCTTTTTTCCTGAATCCGTGAAGAATATTCTGAGGGCGTGGCACCATCCACTATAGGCAGGGACATCTTTCCAATTAAGTTGGCTGCTTTCCGATCGGGTTGCCCACCCTTGACCAGGGGGAGAGGGGTTGGTATAATTAGCAGTTACCTTTATATAGTCCCAGGAGGACGAGGGATTCCAGTATGTATCCCCCGTAGTTTCGCAGCCCCAGCTTTTACAGAAATAATCTGCTTTACCTCTACACTGATGGTTTAGTGCTCTGTCATGGTGGAACCCAGGGCACACATAGAACGTGAGAGTGCTCAGCATACTTCTCTGATTTCTAGTAGAGCAGCCCCCCCATGGATCAAGCCCGAAATGCCCCAGTGGGGAGGGGGCAGGAGGGGGTTTGTGAGCATTAAAGTATCCTTCTAAATCCCAGTTTGCTGGGACTCCTATGGATAATTTGCACACATCGGGAAACAGGTCAGGCCACCATGACCCCAAGGTGACTTTGGATGAGTTCCAGATTGTATCCCCTACCCCACTTATAACATACCAAGTTAACTTTCGAGGGGTATGTGGGCTGGAAGCTCTCAGCCTCTGGGGAAAAACTACCAGGTACTGAAGGTACAGAAGAAGAAAAAATAAAATTTTCATCTTACAACATCCAAGGTGTCTGAACCCCCAGTCCAAACGATTTTGAGTTTTAAGGGGTGCTCCTTGGAACTCTGGACTCTCCAGGTAGCGTCTTTTGATCCTTGGTCCTCGGCTGGTGGTGCAGGCTTTACATGCGAGGCGTGGATCCAAGCGGTGATCCCATCGACCTTCACAGCCGTTGGTGTTGTTAGGAGCACCAGGTAAGGTCCAGTGGGATTCCAGAGTCTGGGAGCAATGTCGTCTCACATAGACTGTGTCCGCGACCTGGAACTGGTGAGAAACTTTGGGGGTCCCAGGCTCGTAGGCGGCCGCCAGCTGCATCCAGACTTCCTTCTGCACCACCTGCAGTCCTTTTAACCTGGCATATAGATCACTGTTACTGTGGCAAGTGGGTTCAATACGTCCCCCAGTAAAGTCAAGGGGGCAGGGGTACCATAGAGAATTTCAAAGGGGGTCAGGTTGAGCCGGGAGAGGGTGTTCCTAGCTCTAAACAGGGCCAAGGGAAGGAGCACCACGCAGTCCACGCCAGTCTCCACGGTTAATTTAGTCAGGGCCTCTTTTAGAGTTCTGTTCATCCTTTCTACCTGTCCTGAACTCTGGGGTCTGTAGATACAATGTAGTTTCCAATTGACCCCTAGATATCTGGCCACTCCCTGGCTTACCTTGGCAAGGAAGGCGGGCCTATTGTCGTACCCAATTACCTTGGGTACCCCGAAGCGTGGGAAGATTTCTTCTAGGATTTTCTTGACCACTATGGTGGCAGTCTCCTGCCTTGTTGGGAACGCCTCTACCCATCCAGAGAAAGTGTCTACAAAGACTAGGAGATACTTATAACCATATTTACCTGGCTTGATCTCGGTAAAGTCTACTTCCCAATATACCCCAGGTCTGTCTCCCCTGGGTCTTTTGCCAGGTCCCGTGGTATTTTTACAAGCATTTACCTTTTGACATGGCACACACTTATAAACTACCTGTTCTGCTAATTGTTTTAGCCCCATGATGTGATATTTAGTCCTTAGGGCAGTCTGGACCAATTTGTTTACTCCCAGATGAGTCCATTGGTGCATTTGTTTAATCATGGCGCGTGCTTGTTCTTGTGGCAAGATAGGCTTGCCTGACACTGCATGCCAGAGCCCTTTTTCCTGATTGAAGTGGTTATTAGAGTCCCTCGAGATCTCTGCTACGTCTTCCGCAGAGTACTTAAACTTGGGCTCCTCTAGCTTTGGGATGTTAACTAGCAGAAGAGAAGTGGACGTATGGGCTGCCGCCCTTGCTTCAGAATCAGTCGAACTGTTTCCCCTGGCAATCCCCTTTCTGATGGCCCGGGCAGTGTATAATACTCACTTTTAGCGGTCGGTGAAGGGCCTCTAGCAGGGCTACGATCTCTGCCTTGTTTTTGATTTCTTTTCCTCCAGAGGTTAGCAGACCCCGCTGTCGATAGATAGCACCGTGCATATGGGCAGTGGTAAAGGCATACCTGCTGTCTGTATAGATGTTGATTCTTTTGCCCTCTCCTAGTTCAAGGGCTTTTGTGAGGGCGATGAGTTCTGCCTTCTGGGCGGACGTTCCTGCAGGTAAGGCCTGTGCCCATATCAGGTTCTGGCCATCTACTATAGCGGCTCCTGCTTTCCATACTCCTTCCTCCAGAAAACTGGTGAACCAGGTGGCTTCGGTGTCCGTCAGAGGCTGATCTGACAAGTCTTTCCGCCATCCATGTGCCTCAGCAAGTACTTGTTGGCAGTCATGGATAGGAGGGTCAAGGTCAGGGTCTGGGAGCAACGTGGCTGGATTTAAGCTTGCCGGGGGAGCGAAAGTAACCCGGTCTGAGTTCAGTAACAGAGTCTGATAGTGAGTCATGCGAGCATTTGTGAGCCAGCGGTCGGGGGGCTGGCAGACAATACTCTCTAAGGCATGAGGTGCCGAGATTACCAAATTCTGTCCCATAGTCAACTTGTCAGCATCTTTTACCAGAACTGCTACTGCCGCTATGATCCTTAGACAAGCCGGCCACCCCGAGGCTACTGGGTCTAATTTCTTGGACAGATATGCTACAGGCCTTTTCCAGGTGCCCAGTTTTTGAGTTAGGACTCCCTTTGCAACCCCCTTATTTTCTGCCACATACAGGTGGAAGGGCTTGGTTACGTCAGGGAGCCCCAAAGCTGGTGCGGACATCAAGGCCGTCTTGATGTTGTTAAAAGCCTGTTGCTCTTCCTTTCCCCACTTGAAGGGCTGACTGTTCTTAGTGAGGGAATATAACGGGGCTGCCATCTCGGCAAAACCAGGTATCCATAGGCGGCAGAACCCGGCAGTACCTAAAAATTCCCTGACTTGTCTTGGGTTAGCAGGTGGTGGAATGTGAAACACTGTCTCTTTTCTGGCCTCAGACAACCATCTTTTCCCGTCTTTAAGAAGTTACCCCAGATAACTGACCTGTTGCTTGCAGATCTGAGCTTTTTTGGCGGAGGCTCGATAGCCCAGTTCTCCCAACTCTGTGAGGAGACGCTTTGTTCCTTCCAGACACAGTTCCTCATCGGCCGCTGCCAGGAGGAGATCATCTACATACTGCAACAGAGTTATCTGGGGGTTGGAGGCCCGGAACATATCCAAGTCTTGGTAGAGGGCTTCGTTAAAGATGGTGGATGAGTTTTTGAATCCTTGAGGCAGGCGGGTCCACGTGAGTTGCTCTGCTAGGCCAGTCTCTGGATCTTTCCATTCGAAGGCAAAGTAATCTTGACTATTTACAGCCAGCGGTAAGCAGAAGCATGCATCTTTGAGATCCAGTACCGAGTACCAGGTCCTGTCTGGGGGCAGAGAACTTAAAAGATTATAGGGGTTAGGAACTGTGGAGTGGAGGTCGGTCACCCGCTTGTTTACCTCTCGGAGGTCCTGGACCGGTCGGTAATCATTAGTCCCAGGTTTTCGGACCGGTAGCAAGGGAGTGTTCCATGGTGATTGGCACTTCCGTAGGATCCCCAGCTGGAGCAAACAGGCAATGTGGGGTCGGATGCCTTTGTGTGCCTCTCGAGACATTGGGTATTGAAGGACAGCTATAGGACTGGCCTGAACCTTCAGCTCTATGTGGACGGGGGGCTGGTTTTTAGCCTTCCCTATCCCTGCAGTTTCTGCCCACGCCTGGGGATAGTTTCTCCAGAAATGCTGACGGAGACTCATTGGGCCCCTGGATTACCTCTCTTACCTTAGTCAAATTGGTGGGGCGTTTTGCTGCCCCTTGGAGACCTGCCATTAGAGCCTGGCAATAGACCTTCAGGTGCTCCCTACCTTCTGCTGAGTTGAAATCCCAGTTTGGTCTGGTCAATGGGAATCCTGCATCTATAACATTAGGGAGGAGGGTAGGTAGCCCATCGTCTCCTGGAACGTTATTTCGGGCCTCCAGGAGGATTCGTTGTTTCTCCTCAGTGGTGAACAGGATCTGGAGGAGCTGCTGACAGTCATCCCAGGTGGGCTGATGAGTAAAGAGGAGGGATTCTACAAGGTTAGTGAGACCCTGGGGATTTTCAGAGAAAGGGGGATTCTGAGATTTCCAGTTGTAAAGATCGGAAGAGGAGAAAGGCCAGTATTGTAAAGGCTGGTTGCCCTCTTCATTACGAGGGCCATAAGCCCGCAGAAGGAGGGTGGGAACAGCCTCCAGAGGGGCTGCTCGCCTACTACGCGTCCCCTGCGCAGGTCCCTCCCTTGCTGCTTGTGGGTCCTCCGGCGGAGCTGACGGGCGGGCTGCCTGAGGCCGGAGGGAGGGAGGATGAGGAGGAGGGGGGTCTAGGAGAAGCAAGTCCGATTCGGTGGAAGGTAGGACCTCCGGTTTCTTTTCCCTTTCTTGAAGAGCAAACACAGCCGATGGACCTGTTAGGGGAACAAAGGGACGGACCCACGGAGGAGGATCTGTGACCAGATCTTCCCAGACAATGATATAAGGGACCTGGTCTGTGTGACTTCTAGAATTGAAACCCAAAATTTTTCTCTTTACCACCGTGATCAGCGGCAGAGAGAAGGAGCCTTCGGCGGGCCACCCGAGTTGGAAAGTCGGCCACTCCGAAGAACAAAGTGTTACCCACTAATGCTTTTTAACCTGTACAGACAGATTATGAGCCCTGGCCTTCACGTCAGTCCAGTATTTCAGAGTCAGATTTAAAGGGGTTGAGACAGCCTGCCCCATGTCACCCCAAAAAGTCGTCAGCCCCAACACACACGCAACCAGACAAACAAAAACCAAACCACTGATGCGCCCCTGCCACGGGCGCCACAACCTGATTATCAGAGAACTTGGGAGGGGCCTCCTTCCTAGAGATCTCCCATGGAGCCGAACCCATTCGTCTCCAACAGACAGAGGAATCTGGAGCGTCCCCCAGGATTCCTGTGGCTGCGGCGTACCGGTACGTCTATCTGCCGCTATGGACCACCACAGACTGGTGACTCCGTCTCGGAACTTCTGAAATACCGAAACCAGACCGATGACTCCATCCTGGGGCCACCGAAACCAGACCGATGATGATGACTCCGTCCCGGAGCCACCGAAAAGCCAAAACCAGATTACAACAGACAACTTACAGCAGATAACAAAGACAGACACAGACAGACAACCGCAGTACCTGCTCGAGCGATCCTCCGTTCTCTAGTCTCTGGTCCCGGAGAGAGCCGCTTCCCGGCCAATGCACCAAAATGTAAGACTGGCCCGAAAGCACGAATCTTACTTGTTGGGAAGGCTCATCTCGCAAAGACCAGGAGACAGAGATCGTTGCAATCAAGCAAGAGGTTTTTATTCCAGCATGCTGGGGTCGCACCGTTTTCAGGACAGAAGCGCCCCGAGCTCTTAACACAAGCACTTTTTATACAGTTTGGTAGGCAGACTTTGGCAACAGGATGAGTTGTACACAGCTTATTGGTCATCTGAGGTGACTTTTAAATTCATTGGTGGTACACAGGCAGGAACTGGGGACATGACCCATCACCTAGTAGTTAGGCCTTTCCTGGAAATTCCTTCCCCGCCCCCCCCCCACAATGGAAAGTTCCAAAAAGGTTGGTGGGTTCTTAAGCCATTTAAATACTATTTAAACTTAATTAATCTACCTTATCACACAGCAAGCAGTTTCACAGAAGCGAATTGCATATGTTATGAAAGGGGGGGTTAATTTTAACTCTACAAGGCCTCGGCCTGCCAGTCACGGGCCCGAGCGCGGCAGTGGTACCAGGAAACCTCAATGTCATCCGGTCCGGGGCGGCGCCATCGGGCGGAGGAGCTGTGGCAGTCCGTGCACGCGCGCGACCAGCCGCGGTGCCTCGCTCCGTGTAGGCTCTCTCGGCTCCTGGACGGCGCCGGGGACACGAGGAAACACGTCAGGGCAGCCTCCTTTCTCGGCGGGACACTTCCAGGATTTAAGAAGCCGCCGAGTGCACGCCTCCCCTCCCCTATTCCATCGTCGCAGGAGTACTTGGCACGGTCGCCTTGGCGGAGGAACCACCACACCCCGGCCGGGCGCGTCTGCTCCCGTTTGCTACCGGGTGATGGTGGGCCGAGCCGACTCCAAGAATCATCGGAAGGGGGGGGCAAAGGAACGGGCCCCTCTAGCCGCTTCTTCGAACCAGTGCTCCTTGTTCTCGATGGTCTCCGCGGGGCCGTCTTAACGCACGCCACTTCCGGTTCCTTTTAAAGGCCCCACGCTGTGCGGGCGACAAGGCGCGTAAGAGGAAGGTAGAAAAGGGAGCGAGAGGGCGGGACCGAGGAGGAAGGGGAAAACATCTAGCGGTAGAGGGGGCGGGGGAAGCGCAAAGGGCGCGCTCTCGCGTCACGTGACTGGGACGCGCAGTTCTTCCGTCGGCCATTTTAGGTGGTCCGCGGCGGCGCCATTAAAGCGAGGAGGAGGCAAGAGCGGCCGCCGCTGCTTCTTATTCTTTTTTAGTGCAGCCGGAGAGAGTGGGAGTGGGAGCCGCCCGAGAGTGGGAGGCGAGGGGGGCAGGCCAGGAAGAGGCGCAGGAGTCTTTGCAGCCACGCGCGCCCCTTTTCTGTCTTGTGTGCTTCGCGAGGTAGAGCGGGCGCGCGGCAGCGGCTGGGATTACTTTGCTGCTAGTTTCGGTTCGCGGCAGCGGCGGGCGTAGTCTCGGCGGCGGCGGAGGTAGTAGCACTATGTCGGAGGAGCAGTTCGGCGGGGACGGGGCGGCGGCGGCGGCAACGGCGGCGGTAGGCGGCTCGGCAGGCGAGCAGGAGGGAGCCATGGTGGCGGCGTCGCAGGGGGCAGCGACGGCGGCGGGAAGCGGAGCTGGGACCGGGGGCGGAACCGCGGCCGGAGGCACCGAAGGGGTGAGCGCCGAGTCAGAGGGGGCGAAGATCGACGCCAGTAAGAATGAGGAGGATGAAGGGTGAGTAAGAGGCGGTCCGGGATAGTGAGGCCCAACTAGTCCCTCTCTCCCAGCCCATCCCCCGCCATTAGGCCTCGTTCCCGCTCTTCTCCCGCTTTCTTGGCCCTCATGTAGCTTCCTTGCACTGGTCTCCCCTTCTCTACGTGGGCTCCCGGGGGCCTTCATTTTTTTTCTCCCCCTCCTGCTTACCGCCCCCTCCCCCATCACACACGTTTCCACCTTTAGCCGTCACCATGCTGTTCCCCGGCCCGCCCTTCTTTCCTCCCTCTCCTTGGGTCTCCTCCCACCGATTTAGCCGCCAGGATTTTTTCCCGCCTGTCGAAGGGCATTTTTTTTCTTTTTGCACTGTTTCCTCGTTTCTCTGTTTTCTAAAGTCCCGGGGAGAGAAACACAGACACAAAAAGCCTTTTTACCAGGATTATTAAGGTTTATTTGGTGCTTCTCCACCATCCGGAAACGGTGCGTTTGTTTAGCAACACATATTTTGGGGAACCTGTAGGCTGTCCACCTCTGCTTCTCCCGCGTTGGCTTCAAGCCGAATGCCTTTTAGTGTTTTGAGTTAAGTTTCGCCTTAGGACTTGTTCGTTTTCTCTACTGTATACAGTCATACAACGGCATGCTTTTGTAGGCCCTACATTTCGACCTATGGAACAAGCTGGGCCTGATGAAATGCCCCAAGCCTCCTGTTGGTACGTGGTTTTGCTCCGCGGGCTCTAGTTAAAGTTCCCAGTCGGCGGGGCCTGCAAGTGATTGGAGCTGTTCCTACCTCCGGCCTTCTAGCTGCCCTTCCCCCATCCCGCTGTAGTTACTCTAACCGCGCACCCTTTTCGCGCCCTCAGCTATTGGGTTCCCCAACTGTGCGTACAGATTGTATTCTTTACTTTTTCTGTGTAACTTAGATATTTTTATTACCGCCCGGTCTCCCTATCCCCCCTTTAATGGTGCCCATCCTTTTTTCGTCCCTTGCTTTCTCCTTCCCGCTCTCTTGCCCTCAATTTTAAAGGAAGTCTACCTGCTTTTAAGAAAATGAACAAATCCTATACTATGGGATTTTTTTTTTTTTGCAGGTTTTTGAGTACTAATTTGCTTCCTCCAGTTAGAGTAACAGTTGTATATACTACCTAAAGCTGCATTTAATGTTAAAATGCAGCATTTGGGGCGGTAGCATAATACAGGAGTTAGGAGGAGGGACTAAATCGGGGTTCTTGGTTGGGTTTTCTTATTTCCGTAACTGACCGCCTATTTTGGGTTAACGCTTCCCTTCCTTTTTGTGATGAGGAATGCGTGTGTATGAATTTTTTTCAGTTAGGAGGAGGAAATTGTTGGTGGAAGGTAAAGCAATAAATTGTAGCTTTAAACCCAGAGTTAGAAAACATGATTTGCTTTACTGGAAAAGAGCACAGGATTTGGGGGGTGGGGAGAAACACTTCGGAATATAGGATTTAATAATCCCAGCCTAGGCAGACTCTTGTCTGGGTGTTTTGCTGATTATGCTGGCTTTGGGGGAGGGGAGGGGAAATGAACTTTTCTTAATTAAAACAACTATTCTTGAGTTGTGTGTAGCCTGATTTGAGAAAGGATTATGTTTAAATATTTGGAAATTTAAGCTTTTAACATTTTGGTTTATGTTTTCTGAATTCTGTTCTTCGGACAGATGCACCAAAATGATTAATTGTATAACTTTCTGTTTGGGGCAGGCTTTCTGTTAACCCTGAGTTTTAAAGTTACAAAGCAGTTGCCTTTATAGTTATCTACTGTTGAACTGAAGTGTAAATGAAAAACTTTTTAACCCTAACAGTGTCAAAAACTAAAACTAGAATTTTGATTGGTTGCTGTACCGGTTGTTAATTCCCTAGCCATTCAAACTCCTCCCCACGACACACTGAAGCAGCGACGGCACAGCGGGAAGAATGGTAAAACTTTTAAATTTTATTTCTGTTTCATAAAGGTTCTAGTAGTCATAACATGCAGAGGCTGTGTATTGGTTAGTTGCCCATTGATCCCCAGGAGATTCTAGACAGTACAGCAGGCTATCTTGTACCTGGGACGTAAAACCTTTTTAAGGCATCGCGTATAATCTTTGGGCAAAAATTGATGCCATCATATGGTATTTGGTGTGTGTTAATGCATGTCATTGTAGTTTGGCCATTTAAGTGAAATAAAATTAATGATACCTTTATATTTGGGCAAGAAAAAATATATTGTAATTTCACATTTGATTTATTTTTTTGAAGGTGAAAAATATTTTTTTGGAATTCTAAGTTTAATGCTAAATATGAAGATTAATTGATATAAAAAATACTGTTTTAAATGTCTTGCATGTTACACTAAAATATTCCAGAGATGCCAAAAGTCAAACAATTCTTTAAGTAGTAGTATTGTATCATGCAAAAAATGTTTTATCTTTATCACCAACCGTATTTGTAAATATAACTTTAATAAGAATTGGATATGTACCCATTCAGAGGTGGGCTAATGTGGCTTTCCACTACAGCTTTTACCAGATTTTTTATTTTCAGTGTGATTTGGCTAGAATGTTAATTACATTTGGTTGACATGTGTTCATAATTGCATGACTTCTCTTTGGAGTTTGGTAGGTTGAGTGTTGTTCTTTTTATCCTGCCTTTCCTCTCCCCTAAATGTCAGTCTTCTTCTGTCTTTGGAATTATATATGAATTTTTCAGGGGTTTGTATCCACCATCACTGGATACTAGAGGGCCAGTAATTTGCAGATAGTTGCCTGTATTTGTACAAATTACATTCTCTTTTAAGAGCCCATTTGGTATAACGTTTAAATTTTACACAATATATATTACTGTATTTTTCATTCACTGAAATCTGTTCAGTTTTAGATCAGAGTTAAAGCAGACTGGAAGGAGTAGGCAAAAGGAAAAGCAAACAGGAAGAAAAGAAATAAAGGTCGAGTCAGTTTGACACAGAATAAAAATGTTTAGAAGAACATTATTTGATGAGTAGTGGGTACTGATAATTTAATTTTCACCGCTAGCTAATAGTGGTAAATTAAGATTACAGTGTAACTACTTGACTTTTCTCTGCCCCATTATGTGTTTTGAATCCTACATAATTGTTTCCAGTAATTCAAAATGACCATAGACTTTTACTTTGAAGGTCATTGTTTTCACTTGGAGAAGTTTACTTGGGCTGGCCAGTTAGCTAAGTTGGTTAGAGTGTGGTGCTGATAACACAAAGGTCCAGAGTTTGATCCCTATACTTGTCAGCCACCGGGAGGAAAAGAAAAAAAAAAGCATTGCCCTGCTACCTAACACTGTAATATTATAACTTTTTTGGGAAACCTCTTAGGAAAAATGGGAAATTAAATATTATAATTAATGAACATTTTAGATGTTCATTAATTATAATATTATGACCCATTGTCATCCACTGAAAATAAGGTTTTACTGAGGTTCATTTTAAGTTAGGCAAGTTTACACTTATAAATAATGTAGTTATTTCTCTCTTTTTTATTTTTCAATTGTGAAGTCTAATATTTGACTTCTGTTTGTAACTGCCCAACCACCCAGCCTCTTCCTGTTCAAAATATCAAGTTTTTCTTTTTGAACAAAGAAAACCTCAAGATCATTAAATCTTTTTCTGGTATCTGTGCACTTTTCACCGTATCTGTTCCTTTCTGTGTCCCATTTTGAGGGATATTGGCAACATTTCATAATATAGTCTCAATAGTGAGGATAAGATTGGTTGGTTAGTAGATATAAAATTATCTAAATTTAAATTTTTAAACACAATGCTGTCTGCATTTTCTTTTATAAATTTAATTTGAGGGTAAAGCAATTACACTTTCATCCTGAAATATCTTAAAAATCAATTTGTTGTAAATATAGTTTTTTCCCACTTTTGCGTATTAGAATGAACAAAGCTATTAGGAGGGCATCCCTGTTATACATCTATTGGATGCTTTTATAATTTACTTTGGAGGCTTTGGAATACTTATTTCCACAGTAAAATTCCTTCTTGAGTTCACCTTGCTTTAGTCTTTCCAACATTAACATTCCTAGTTTTTACTTAAAAGCATTTGCATTGGAATTCCCATTTTGCTTTGTAGTGTGGATTCATTCTATTCTCTGCAGTGCTGCAGTTCCTTTGGGGTAGGTACTTTAAAATTACTTAGTGTCTGGCAAAATATATATGCCATATAGTAAGCTGCCTGGGGGCAGAGTTTTGAAAATTTGAAGATCAGTGGAAAACTAGAATATTGTTGACTTTCAGACAGTTTTACAAGGTAGGTACATTGACTTTTCCTGCACTGGATTGGGTAGGAAGCAAAATAGTATCAAAAGTTATCAGCCGAAGGACAGTGCTCTTCTATTAATAGGCCAATAGATATGGTCCTATAATCATTAGTATATAGGCTCAAGTGTGATTCTGCTATGGGTTATCTACTGTCTAATTTTACATGAATGGGCTGACATGTATTTGTTTTAAATATTTGAGATTATAATCTATACTCTAGTGCCTGTGGGGCAATATGAACAGTTTGCTTTGTAAAACAGTTACTTTTAGAGCAATCTCATGTCAAATTGGCTGGCCTTTGATTCATTAAAGTTGAGTTTATTGTAAACAGTAAAATTGAGACCTTTGAGAAATTTCCAGGGTTAAAATTGCAGAAATTGAAGCCCTCAAACCTTGAGATAATGAACATTTAAGGGAAGAATGCTAAATTCTTTTCATTTCAAATTTTAAAAATCACCTGACCTTTTAAGTTTGGAATTGGAGAATGTCATTGAAGCTTTTCAGTGCTGCTTTTTGAAGTTAAATCTGTCTTTTCTCAAGCTATGTGACTTCTCTTATAAACTTAGTGTATGTTTTTAATATTGCCTGGTGATTTTGTCATCGGTAAGGCTGCCCTAATATAAGAACATTTAGAGTCTCCTATTTTGGTGTGTGATTTATGGCCAACGTGAAGGTTGATAGTTTCAGCCCTTCAAGTGATGATACATGGCATGCTCGAAAACGTTGAAAAAGGAGTAGAATAACTTTTTTCCCATTCCACTTAAAGCTGTGCATCTCAAGTGTGTGCAGATTCACAAATGGAGTGAGACGTAACTTGTTAGTCCAAGTTTGATTTGACTTTAGTTTTGCTTCAACATTTTAGTAGATAGGGCACTAAACTGGATGATGAAAACGTGATCTTTTTCTGTTAACTTCACTTCCAACAGTTTGGTCTCAGGTAATATAACATGTTTGTTACTTGGTTTGCTGATCTTTGTTGGAAACAATGCTCATCATGGGAAGATTGACTACATAGCCTCTTTTCATAGCTTGTGTGTATTTATCCAGTGTCCTAGTAGTTGATACTGCCAGTGATTTACTCCTGTGGAGTAAAGGTAAGCATGTTTTAGTTTTTGGAGTATTACACTGTATGTTGGAGCTAGGTATTTAAGAATATTTGGGGATGGGGAGGGAAGACTTGTATTTGCTGGTAGTGTTTGGCCAATAATCAAGGTGATAGTTTTAAGTACAGTCATGCGCCGTATAACGTTTTATTCTATTGGGGACCACATATGTGATATACAAAAGTGGTACCATAGAGTATAATGGAGCTGAAAAATTCCTATTGCCTAGTGACATTGTAGCAGTCTTAGTGCTGTGAATTACCTTTTCTGTGTTTAGCTATGTTTAGATACCCAAATACTTATCATTGTGTTACAGTTGCTTGTGATATTCAGTACAGTAACATGCTGTACAGGTTTGTAACTTAGTAGTGATACGCTATATATCATATAGTCTAGGTGTATAATAGGCTATACTATCTAGGTTTGTGTAAGTATGCTGTGATGTTTACTTTGCAAAGATGACATCGCCCAACGATGCATTTCTCAGATTTCTCAGAATGAATTCCTGTCATTAAGCGGCGCATGACTGTATTGGGTCATATACTGTAAACTCCTGCTTATCTAGACTTGAAACCACCAAAAAGCCCAAACATCCAGGAAAGAAATCCACCCCTCTTTAGTTTTGCAAATAAGGTGTCTTGAACTATCAGCAAATATACTCAAAAAGCAACCAACAGATAATGTCATGGAATGAATCTCCTACAAATTTTCCCTAATGCTGTTGAGAAGTAATGTGATTTTGGAGCATTGAAAGAGTCTAAAAATTCATCAAGAAAGGTAAAAATTTTCTTATTTTAGCATTGATATATAAATTGATTTCTATTAAAAGACTCTAGAGTTGTGAATATGTAGTAATCTCAGTTAACCAGACCCTTAACCTAGGTTAAGGAAACACCATTCCTTAACCTCTAGGTAAATGGGAGTTTACCTTATAAAGCTGACTGAAAGTTTGTTTTACAAGTAAAAATACAAGATATAATTGCTTCCTTGTAATGAAATGAAGAAAGAGAAATGTTGGGTTAAGCATTTAAAGTTTAACTGTCATGTTTTCAACTTAGTTTTTTTAATAGTCATCGAGGTTCATTCTCAAGTATGAAGTAATAAGATTTAATATAGAAGAATTAATCTTGTTTTGAAAATGTTTAACCCATTGTTTTTGTTAGTCTTGAATAAAAATAGGATTCCTTTTCACAGTTACCTTGAAAATGTCGTCTTAACATAGAAAACTGGGGGAAGAATGCCTATTCTTTAATAATGGGGAAATATACTAGAATTTAGATTTTATTGACTTAAGTGTTTTTTGGGGGGAGAATTTATTTATTGGCCAACCTTTATGTTTATTAGTTTTAAATAGCTAAAAGGTAGTTTTTATATTACATACCACATCAGGTGTAAAAAGGCTGGTAATTTTTTGACTTGTTAAAAGTTTGTCAAGATATTTCGAAGAGTAGTTTTCATACAAATTCTAAAATCACTACCCTACCATGTGATATCTAGTTGCAAAGCAGCCCTCTCCTCCTCCCCATATAGGCAACCAGTGA